TTTTTTTTTTTTTTTTTTTTTTTTTTTTTTTTTTTTTTTTGTGGTACTGGGGATCGAACTCAGGTCCTTTTGCTTATTTTTTTTTAAATCATGCTGTTTAAAGTAAAAATAATACTGTAATGTACTGTGAGGATATAACAAATATAGAATTAACATGAACTACAACAGCAGCACAAGAGGCTAGGCTAGCAGGAGAGAAGTAAAAAGAATTTATACTATTATAAGATTCTTAGACTACCTTTGAGATGATGTGCAAGCAGTCCTTACTTTGCAAGGTACTGTGCTCGCTGAAACTTGTGCACTTCAACACTGTGACTCTGGTTTGTAAAGAAACTACTACCAAAGAACAAGACAAAGCAGTCATGGGCCAGGTATGGTGGCACGTGTGTACAATCCCAGCACCCAGAGGCTGAGACAGGAGGACTGCCATGAGTTCAAGGCTATTCTGGGATCCATAGTAAGTTCAAAGCCAGACAGGACTACACAGCAAAACCCTGTCTCAAGCCCAGGCTAGACTTCATAGTGAAACTGTGTCTCAAAACAAACCAAAGCAGACTCATTGTTCTGATCTGCATGAGTTTCTGTTAACACAGTACTGTGCTAGTGAGAATGGCTAAGGTTGGTAAGATGTATACCATACACCATAAGGCCACCACTATCAAAGTGAAAGAGAAAAGTACAGCTACTAAGTCAAGAAGTAAGGTAAAAGGGAAAAAAAAAATCCAAAATAAGGTAGAAAAAGAGGGAAATGGTTGGTAGATTTAAATTCACCCAAATCAATAATCACACCAAGTACAAATGTTCTAAGCACATCTACTAATAGGCAGAGAGTATCAGAATAGAATAAAAAAGCAAGAAAACAGTAAAATATATATCCTGCTGAAGTACACACATTTACCAGACAGACCATATTGCTTGACAAAAAGTATGTCTCGGTCTCTTGTTGCAGCAATGTATGTGCACCAGGAGCTCAGGCATGGAGTAAGACACACTGGATTGTTTTAAGCAAATGAAAAGCCAAAGGCAGGGGAAATAGCCAGGTCAGGCAAGACCAAGCTGAAGAAGTCAGAGATGTAGGAGAAGAAAACCTCGGTGACCAGAGACCACTGAGCAGGAAAAGCAAAGTAAAGGCTAGAGGGTTCTAAGACCTCCAGGTCACAATGTGCAGGAAGAGCCATCTGAGAAATGGACACTAACCACACACTACATCTGAACCTGGGCACTCCTCACTGAGGCTACTGGCCTGCGGGTCTCTGAGGGATCCCCCAGTCAGACTGCCAAATTCCCCAGTTTACCCTGGGATATGAAAGAGTTACTTGTAATTGTGTGATGAGTGAAAATAAAACATATCTCAAAAAAATAAATCAAGGGGCCGGGGATTTAGCTCAGCGGTTCGGTGGCCTGCCTTGCAAGGGCAAGGACCCAAGTTCAATCCCTGGTACAAAAAAAAAAAAGAAATCATACATATATCAGTAAATTTTATTTATATATATATCTTTAAATTTTTAAAAAGCCAGATTAAAAATTCTGCAAAAAGAAAAAGAAAAGGCTAACAAGTGTCACATTCCAATAAATCTATGTATGGTAAGTTGCTTCCACTTAATGAAATAAAAATTAAAACATTAGACAATTACCAGAAATATTTTAAGTTAGAGCTGGAGGCATACAGAGGTACATACCTTGGTTAATTTCTTTACACAATTCTGGCTGCAAATCGAACTGGACAAGAACTGAATCAAATTTCCTCATAAGGTCAACATTGGAGCTAACATTGAATTTGATGAGGTTCTCGTCCAATCTGATTTGCAACCAGAATCATGGAAAGAATTAAATTCATTAATCAAAGTACTACTATAGTTCATGGTACAGTGTTTGCCTAGCAAGTGCGAGAACCTGGGTTCCCTTCCTAGCACCAAAACAACAAGTCTTAGGCCAAAAGTGGTGGTACACGCCTATACTCCCAACAGGCAGGAGGCTGAGGCAGAAAGATCCCCACAAGTTCAAGGCCAGCCTGGACTTTTCAGTGAGTTCAAGGTCAGCCTGATAACACACAGTAAGACCCTGACTCAAAAAACAAAAAGCTGGGCATGGTAGCACACATCTGTAATCCCAGCACTCAGGAGGCTGAGGCAGGAGGACAGCTAAGAGTTCGAGACCAGCCTGGACTACACAGTAAGTTCCAGGACAATCTCAAGTACATAGCAAGACCCTGTCTCAAAAAAAAATTTTTTTTAATTACTGAATGAACACATGGTGCAAAGCCAATCATAGCTACATCTCTAAAGGCATCTGGAATTTTTAAGTAGAATAAATGTCTTGAGAGAAAGACCTAGATACATGAGCTGGGAGTTGTAGGGCAGACACCTTCAGCCCCACAGGGAACAGAGAAGCAACAGAAGCTGGTCATATGAAATACAAAGCAAATAAAGAGCCAAAATAAAATATCAAAAAGTCAGTCAGCTCCACTCTTGAGATATGCCTGAATCTGTATAATCTCTACAACTCATTTCCCTGTTCTGCTTAGGCAGTTTAAGGTAGTTTCTTTTACTTGTAGTCATGATCATCTATCAAACATAGACAGCCTGTCTGGAAAAACAGACAGTCTATTGCTAGTGAGAGAAAATACAAGGAAAAAAATGTCATAAAGATGAAAGAAGAGCAACTTCCAAGGAGGAATTATGTAGTTAGCAGCACTGCAAAGTTCAAAAATGTCAAGTAACAGCAGAGTGTGCACAAGATTTATTGGTATGAAAAAGTAACATGAACAATTTCAATAATTAAGAAGCAGAAAGAACACGATAAACTGAAAAATGAACAATTAACCAGATTTGAATAGTTATCTAATATTAAAATTTTCACATACATTATCCAAATAAGACTTTAATGTAAGACTAATAATCCAAATTTTAATTTTATATATTTTTAAATCTTTTTTAAATTTTATTTTCATTTTTGCTTTTTGAGATAGGGTCTTGCTATTAATTGAGGCTGGCCCTGAACTCACTATGTAGTACAGAATGGCCTTGAAGTCACAGTAATCCTCCTGCCTCAGCCTCTGGAGGGCTAGGATCACAGGCATTCACCACTATGCCCAGCCCAAAATTTAATACGTTTTTTTCAAACAACAGCTATAGCACAGCGATAACACAACACAAAATCCCTAGCTATTCCAAAAGTAATAATTTTTCCTCATTTTTATTAAAATATTTGACAGATGTTGAAATGTGCACTCACCTTGTAATCCTATGGAGGAGAAAAATTGTCCTTTTACTTTCAACAGTTATATCTCGGCTGAGCTTCACAAGTCTCTCGTATTTGTCATGCCTTGCATCCAGCTCCTGCTGAAACGCTAAACACACATTATCACAACTTTAAATGCATGGTCTTCACTCAACGCCCACCTATACATAGGATGAAACCACTCAGCTCAAGGTGAATGCAAACAAAGGCTGCCATGTGCTGCCTCCACTTGAGGCAGGACACAGCAGAACATGGTGGTCATGACACCAATTCTCAAAACACAGAAAACTGAACACGATCCTCTAGCAGTTTTCTATAAACGCCAATGATACACAGAAACATGTAACTCCTAACTCCTTGGTGGAGTTATGAATATACAAAGATCTTTAAATAAATATGAACTTTATCTCAATTTTTAGAAAGCTAAATGACTATTATACTTAAATATTCAGTAACAACATAATATATAACCTGAAATACAAATTACTTTACCACAGTATTGAATATATAACTGTAAAGTACTTGAAAAACATTAAACTATTTTAAGATAGTGAAGAGGGAAAACAAATTTAAAATGTATGCAGGGTGTGGGGGCTCAGGCCAGTAATTCCAGCGCTTGGGAGGCAGAGGTAGGAGGATGGCTCCAAGTTTGAGGGCAGCCTGAACTATAAAGTGAAACCCTGTCTCAAAAAGCAAAAACAAGAAAGAAAAAAAAAGTAAAATATGTAATCACTCTGTCAGTTGATTTTCTTAATATTAACTACAGGACTAGATCACAGAATATTCTGTAATCAATACAAAATTGGTGGGCCAGGGATGTAGCTCAACGGCACCACGCCTGCCTGGCAATCACAAGGTCCTAAATTCAATTACAAAACAAAAACAACAACAACAAAAAAACAAAGTTGTAACAGTATTTGTCTGAAAATGATTAGTAAAAAACATGAAAATTTTAGTAAGATCTAGCACAGTGGCACATGCCTATAATCCCAGATACACAGAAGGCTGAGGCAGGAATGTTTCAAGATTGAGCCCAACACAGACAACTTATGAAGACTCTGTCTCAAAATTTAAAAAATAAAAAGGGCTGGGCATGTAACATGCAGCAAAAGTCCTAAGTTAAATTCCCAGTACTCCAAAACAACAATAAAACAACTTTGGTATGGCTAGGAATAGGTCAACTGAAACTTGAGTCAGAGAAGTGAGAAATCAAAGAGAAGGTTAAATGTAGGTCGTGATATCCACCCAGCTTATATATTATGCTTAATGGTTCAGCACTTATGCACAGAAGTTGCCAGGCATGGTGGCGCATACCTGTACTCCCAGAACTTGGGAGGCTGAGGCAGAAGGACTGCCATGAGTTATGTAGCCTGGGCTACAACAGTATCCTGTCTCCACAAAAAGAAAAGAAACAAAATTAATCTTCAACCTGTCAAACTATTAAAGAGAGTTTTTTTTGAGTCCCCCATAATATGTATACAGAAGAAAAAGAAGCCAGCCTGGGCTAAATAGCAAGTACAACCTCATCCTGAACTATGTATTGAGATCCTGTCTCAAAAACAAACAAAAAGAAATTACAGAATAGAATGGAATGCTTCTGTTTATATTTATTAAATATAATTGTCATTCTGTTTATCTTTTAGACTAATTTTAATTTCTTCCATTCAATTGGTTTTAGTCTTAAATTTTGGGACTAAAGGTATTAATTCTAATCAACTTTATTTACAGAAAGCCTGATTTAAGACACCCAGAAAAAGTGGGGTTTTGTAATAAAAAACTTCATTATTTTCACAATCTTATGTTTCAGCCTCAAATGATTTTCTTTACTAAAATTTTTAACACATAACAAAATAATTTCTTTTATTACTTTTCAAAAGACTTGCTGGTATTGTAAGTATACTTTTAACACAGCAAAAGATGTATTAAATAAATTTAAGCGTCAACCCTTTCTAGAACACAAATGCCCTTTATTACATAGACAGATAACAGTTAATGAAACAGTACAATGTCTCTAGACACACCAGATTATCTACAGGAAACTAATCTGCAGAACCCAGAATGTTAAATAGCAAACTTATAACTCTAAAATGGTAGCTTCTCCACTGGTTCTCTCCCAGCTCATGAGTCAGCCACATTGTCTCCTTGCTGGTCCTCTAAGTCTTTTGTTGTTCCTGATGATGATTTTTATATTTTTTATTACTTTTCTTATGTATCTGTTTATACCTTTCTCTCTTTCTTTTTTTGGTCCTGGGGACTGAAACTGGGGCCTTAGTGCTTTCAAGGCAGGTGACAGCACCACTGAGCTAAATCCCTGACCCAAGTTTGTACCTTTCTCGATGCCTCTACTTTTGCTATTACATCTTTCAAACACCACTCCCACTGTTCAGCTCATGGGTCACACTTCATCTCTCAGATGCTCAGACAGCATAAATATCACCTGCCTCCCTGTCACTTACTCCCATTACCTTCTCTACTGTTTCCCAGAATTTATCCTTCACTAGTTAAAATTATATTATCACATATTTACTTATGACCATAATTCCCAATAGATCTAAGCTTGATGATAAACAAGCTTTGTCTTCCCATCTGTATCCTCTGAGCATCGAACAGTGTAAATTCTCAGAAAACTTGCTGATTTTTGTTTTGGGGGGTGTTTAAGTACTGAGGGTCAAGGCCAGGGTCTTCACACTGAGCTACATCCCCAGTGGGTTTTAATTTTTTTTGAGACAGTATCTCACTAAATTACCCAGGATGGGCTTGAATTTGCAATCCTGCCGCCTCAGCCTACCAAAGCAATGGGATTAAAGGTGTGCACCACTGTGCCCCGCTCTGAAAGTATTTCTTGAATAAACTACGTAAAGCCATAAGTAGTATGACATATTTGATAAGAGTGTATGCTGTATTTTGAAGTAAACTTTATTCGTAACCAGTGGTGTACAAACTTCTGGGAATTAAATTTTTAAAAAGGAACTGCAAATCTATGAGCACCCTAAACATGACCCCTAATATAGAATGATCAATGTATCTTACCTATTCAATTAGCTGCTTAGCTATTACTTTTCCAAATACATGCTCATGCTGTTGGAATTACTAAAATAAAATTCACTCAAATTAGTCATATAAATGAATTAAAAGCATTGCTGAATGTCACTGAATTACTTTCACTACCTTCAGTAGTGAATTACCTTTACTTACTGTTGTGCTAATCTGTTACCTTGATATATGTACTACAGAAAAGCTTCCTGCTTGACTGGTCTGTTTCCAAATACCCTGCCTTTATAGAGCTGCCAAACAGGTAATTTTTAAAATATATTCAGTCAGGCATGGTGGTGAACACCTGTAATCCCAGCACTCCAGAAGCAGAGGCAGGAGGATCACTCCAAGTTCAAAGCCAGCCTGCACTACAAAGTGTCTCAAAAATACATGTAATATATATTATATACATGTATTTCTAAGACTCCCTACATGAGCCCTTTAATAATCTGGTCCCCTGCCATCCCCCCAAGAAGGACTCACCAGCTCTTACAGAGTATTCCAGCCAGGGAAGTATAGCTTGAACCTAATCATGAGGAAATAATCAAATCCAAGTGGAAGAATATTCTATAAAATAAGACCAAGAGTCTTCAACATTCACTGTCATAAAAATGCATGGAAAGACTGAAAAGTTGTTCCCAAGTCCGGAAAATTAAAAAGACATGAGAAGGAGAGGCAGTATGTGATCCTACAGTAGACACTAGAGATAGTGGACTAGAGAGGAGCAAATGTTAGAAAGGATACTTGGGACTGTTGTCCAAACATGCACCATAGACTAAAGTACTGCATCTGTGTTAAGCTCCCTGAAATGAACAGTAGCACTAAAGTTACATAAAAGAAATTTCCTTACTGCTAGAAAATTTAATTTGAAGGATTGAAGATAAAGAAGTACAATGAATGCAACTTATTTACAAATGATTGAAAAAAAAGGGTGTACATAAATTTACAAATAGATTAATAAAGTAAAAGTGGCATAAAAGCTATATATGTTCTTATTTTTCCAATTAAACTACCCTTCCCCCTTCGCTTAAATTTTGAGACAGGGTCTGGCTATGTAGTTCAGGCTGGCCTTGAACTCATGGCAATCCTCCTGCCTCAGCCTCCCGAGTGCTGAGATTACAGGCCAATGCTACCATGCCTGGCCTCAAGTTTTTAAAATAAAGGACATTTCTAAATAAAAAGTTAATTAAATGAAACAAATCAGATACATAAATATTGCATGGTTTACCTTACGTGAGAAATCCAAAGTATGAATAAAGAACAAAATAAATGATATATAATAGGAAACAGGGAGATAGATTTTTGTAAATAAGAAGGGGCCACAAGATAGGAGGGGAAAGGGAAATAAAAGGAATTAATGTGAGCTATGAATATGTATCAACTCTCCACAATGAATATAAATCATTATAGATATTAAAATTTTTTAAATTTAAAATAAAAAGTTAAGAAGCAGGAAAGTTTCTATGGTACTGGGGACTGACCCAGGGAGTACTGAGTTACATCTCCAGCCTTATATTTTAATTTTGACACAGGTCTCCGTAAGTTACCCAGGCCGACCATAAATTTGAGCAACTCTTGCCTCAGCCTCCCTAATAGCTGGGATTATAGGTATGCACCATCACATCCCACCAAAAAAGTTTTTCTTTGTTCAGAAATATTCATTAGGGCCAGGGAGTTAGCTCAGTGTTTCCACTGCCTGCCTCGAAAGCACAAGGGCCTGAATTCAATCCCTGGTACCAAACCAAAAAAAAAAAAAAAAAATTTTCATTTGATGACTTCCTTTTTCTTCCCCAGGGCTGGGGAATGAATCCAGGGCCTCTGAGCAAGCACTGCTATATCCCCAGTCCCTGAGATTGTTTGTTTGTTTGTCTGTGAGACAAGGTCTCACTCTGTAATTCAGACTGGCCTTGCACTCAATATATAGCCCAGCATGGCCTCGAACTTGTGGTGATCCTCCTACCTCAGCCTCCCTGAGGAGGTCTGCCATGAAACCTAGCCCTAAGACTCCTGTTAATGAAATTAACTTTACCAAGCATTTCCAGGTGGTACATACCTGTAATCCCAGCACTCGGGAGG